GAGCGAATTGGAGTAGATAACCTCGTTTTATAATCCCCATAACCCACTTTGACACGTCGGGGATGGCCTGCCAGGCCTCGGCCCTTGTGGCAAGGGGTTGAATTGGTTCGGGCGGCGGGTCGCTGTGAAGGGACCCGGGGCTCGCCGTGTTTGGAAGAGGAAATTTGCTCTCTTTTTGAGTATGTTTGTGTTTTATTTTGTCCGCTATCACAGCGGTTGTACACTTGGGCGCTAGAACGGGCCCTTTGCATTCAATAAACACATTTTTCCCAGCACCCGGAACTGGACGGGGCAACTGGGGACACATACGAGGCAGTTTGGGGGGTGGTCCGGCCACAGCGAGACTTTGCCCCCTCCTCTTCCTTCCTGAGGGATCAGGATGGCTTCTGAGGCGCAGGGTCCAGCACAATCTTGGGCCGGGTTCCCTGGCGCTTCGGGAAAGGGTGGCGCTTTGCAGAGCGCAAGCGCTGCCTGGGCTCAGGCCGTGCAGAGAGCTGAGTCACAGGAGGCGTAGTTTTAACTGGCTGTTGAGTCGGCGCCGGCTTGGGGCAACTGGCAGCAGCTGCAGAACTGGAACGCTTCGGCAGGAAGTGTCGCATGGCTTGGGACGACTTCTGTGCAGCCGTGAAACGCTCGGCGAACCCTTCCACAGCAGGTCCGAAAAGGCCAGTGGGGGTGACCGGGGAGTCAAGGAAGATGGTTTTATCCGCTTCTTTGATCTCTGTCAAATTCAGCCACAAGTGGCGTTCCAGCACCACCAGGCTGGCCATCGACCTCCCAATGGCCTGTGCAGTCGTCTTTGTGGCGCGCAGGGCCAAATCGGTGGCGCTGCGCAGCTCTATGAACGCTGCAGAGTGTTCTGGCCCAGACTCATCCATGGCGTGAAGGAGCTTCGCCTGGTACACTTGCAGCACCGCCATAGAGTGTAACGCAGACGCAGCCTGGCCCGCCGAGGTGTAAGCACGACCAGCGAGGGCTGAAGTCGTTCGACAGGGCTTCGAGGGATAAGTGGCCTTTGCCTTCCATCCGATGGCAGCGGGGGGGGCAGAGGTGTGCAGCCACTGCTTCGTCCAGAGGAGGCAGCTTATCGTAGCCCTTCTGTGCAGCGCCATCGACCGTAGTGAGGGCGGGAGAGACAGAGGAGCGTAAACGCGCTGAGTAGGGGGCGCGCCACGACTTCTTCAGCTCGTCGTGAACCTCTGGGAAGAAGGGCGCAGCTCGCTGAGGAGGGGTCTGGCGGCGTCCCGGCAGAAACCACTCATCTAGGCGGCTGTGAGTGGGCTCTTCAGGTTAAGACCACTCCAATCCGAGCTCCTCGACGGATTTTAATAGGACACGGATGAGCTCGGTGTCCGTACCAACCTCTCTTTGTGGAGAGAGTGAGGTACGTGGGCCTTGAGAACCTCTCTTTGTGGAGAGAGTGAGGTACACAGGCCTTGAGCCGACGGAAGCTCACTCATATCTGAGCGCTGTGATCCTCTACCCCGCTGTTTTTTCCTCACAGGTTCCTGGGAGGAAGGAAACGGGGGGGGCACGAGGGGAGGGGGCGCTTTCTGAAAAGAAAGCTATCCGCGAGCGCAAAGAGGCGAGACTCATGCTCTCGCAGTGGGAGCATGACGTCTCAGTGAGCGCGGCTTCTGCGTGGGATTTCCCCAGACATCGCACACATTCACTGTGCCCGTCATCAGCATGCAGTGGTGTCCTGCACCAGCCAAAGCCAAAGACATTTGCAACAACGTCGCAGGAAATTTGTTCAGAAATGTGCTCTTTTTTGTTACCACAAGCAGGAAAGCGTCAACACAGGCGATCTGCAGACGGCTCGTGAGCGAAGCGCTGACCGGGGCTGCCTTGAGAGCGACGCGGGAACAGAGCTGCTTGAAGCGGCGATCTGATCCGGTGCTGCAAAGCGGCACGCTGATCAGTGCTGCTTGAGAGCGGCGAGCTGCAAGCGGTGAGCAGAGAGCAGAGGCGGCGAGCTGACCTTGCTGCTGCAGAACGGTGGCTGGATCAGCTTGCAGGCGAAGGCTTCAAATCTCGTAGAATCAGCGAAGAGCAGTAGATGTCGTCGCTGAAGGATAAAGAATCAGTGATCCTATGCTGAGCACCTGCTTATTTAGCCAGATGCCCCGCCCATTTTGGCGGGCTCGGGCGCCCTGCTTCGCCATAGGCTCGCGCAGCTCTGCTGCGCCGTCATTGGTTCATTTCTGAAACAATGGCAGTGCAGATACACTTCTGTGATTGAAAAAAAAGGCTACAGTAAATCGGAGAAAAGGAGTTTTCCGTAGCGTCTAGTGACGCAGTACGAAGTGAAGTATCGAAAGGGAACTGTATTTTAGCTAGTTAACCTTATTTTAGCTATTTTGTTTAATTTGTTCTAAAACTGAAATAAAACATTTATAAAAACTGTATAGATATATTTAAAAATATTTGTAACAAATGCTAAAAAAAATACAAAAACAACTTAATTAAAATTAAAATAAAAACAGAAAATACTAAAATAAAACCAAATTCAAAATATGAATACAAATTATAACAGTATCTCACTCATACTGAAATAACACAATGAGCACATTTACATGCAGACCATTATGGTTCATATTCATTGTCAAGCCTTTATTCCAGTAGATTAAAAGCTTTAGAACTTTGTTTGCAGAATGATGGCTTAATTAGAATATGGAAGTTAATTGGAAATGGAAAATGGAAAAGTCTGCATGTTGTTATGAGGTGAATAATGACTTCACGTGTGTCGGTTCCACAGTGAGCCTCGGATTCTTCGATGACATCATAATCCCGCCAGAGTCGCTACAGCAACCGACTAAATTGTATACTGAATCATCGCTTCTACCAACACATTAACATGACACTATTAATTAGCTACCAGTGTATTTGTAGCATCATGTACCCAGCATGCTCTGTTCCTTCACGGTTGGCGTAGCGATGAGGCGGAGCAGGTGTGGATGTGGGAGTACGAGACGGACGAGGGCGCTCACGACCTCTACATGGACCAGGGCGAGGAGATCCGCTTCCGGGTGGTGGACGAGGTCTTCATCGACACGTCGCCCTCGGGTCCCAGCGCAAAGAAGGAAGGGCCGAGCGCGGCCGCCACAGCGCCACCTGCAGGAGCGGAGGACAGCGCGCAGCAGAAAGAGGCTCCGTACACACTCATAGTGAGAATATTACACCTTAAATAAAGCTATAATGAATATATAACCCGTTCCATCCACCATTTGTCTTTGCAATATCATACACTGATGATTTGCTCACAGTAATACCACAAGCGTCTCTTGTTTTCTTCTGCAGGGATCTGTAAGTGAACCAGGTCTGGGTCTTCTGTCCTGGTGGAACAGTTAACAGTCTCATCTGTTATGAAGCATGAAAAATCAGCTGAAACCTCTCATAAGCCTCATTTACACAATGAACCGAAGCTCTGTGGACCAATCAGTGAGCAGCTGGTGCCGGGCCAATAGGAGACGCTTAATAAAAGAGCCATATATAATGATTTAAATGGGATTATTGTGTTGTATTGCTGTGTCCTATGAAGTTTACTTTATAGATAAATTCTATTAAAAATGTTTAGCAAACAATCTTTTTCTGACACTGAATGGAATATTTTCATGTGATCATGTATATATGGTTTTTGGATTTTTTTTCTCCTGCTTTTTACAACATTAAAAATGGAATAAATGAAAAATATAATTGTAATGTTTTAGTGTATCTTGTATTTATATTTAGTTTACATTGTATTTACATTATATACAATATATATACAGTGGTGTGAAAAAGTGTTGGCCCCCTTCCTGATTTCTTATTTTTTTTGCATGTTTGTCACACTTTAATGTTTCAGATCATCAAACAAATTTAAATATTAGTAAAAGATAACACAAGTTTTCACACAGGGCCATGTAGTTTTGGATTTTGTTTTCCCTTAATAATAAAAACCTTCATTTAAAAGCTGCATGTTGTGTTCACTTGTGTTACCTTTTACTAGTGTTTAAAGTGTGACAAACATGCAAAAAAATAAGAAATCAGGAAGGGGGCCAACACTTTTTCACACCACTGTACATATAAGATTGCTAAACCTTTTTTTTATTTAGAATGTCTCTATTTCAGGTTATTGACTTTTGAGCTTTCCCTCCATCATAATAAATAATAATCAAATAAAAATGATAATAGTAAACAAATAAGGAAACTTGCTTTGTACCTAAATATTCAAATAATATGGTATTGATATGTAAAAAGTTGTCATGTTTTATAACAGAATTTCTGTCCCCACATTAATGATAACCATCGTTACATTTTATAATTAGAGTATTACTTGCGGCATCATAAATGTGTATATATATATATATATATATATATATATATATATAATACATTTGCTTTTGATGCTACTAATTAGTAGTAAGATATGCATTGATAAAACGAGTGAATCGTTACACCCCTACTACTAAGGCTTTATGTAGGCTATTGTCAGCTGACTGCTGTTTACATCATCTCATATGAGACAGTCTAGTGATGGGAGTGACTCACTTGAACGGCTTCAGTGCGTCATCTTCGGGATTCGGTGATGCATGCCATGAACGCGTCGGTTCTCCCGGTAAAAGCGTGCTAACGGGGATCTCCTCCATCACACGAGCTCCTCACTGCGGATCTGCACCGTAGCCTATATCTCATCTTACATAACGGCGGTCGACAGGACGGGACGGAAGCATCAGTCAACTCCAGACAGCGGCCGTAAGTTTCTGCATTTGGTCCATTTATTTGGGCGTTTTTATTTTTTGCCTGTTTTTATACTTGTAATGCTTGTACTATAAATAAGCGAATATGCAATCTAAAAACAGAATTAAAATGATTACAGTTAGTGCTTGTTTTTTTATTAGGCATGATCCCATCCCTTAGCCCACCTTTTGTTGATGTCCTCTCGTTTTTCAAAACGTAGCGCGCCCTCCTAGACAGCAGTTATTATAGGCATTATAGGCATCGATTGTGTGCATATAAATAAACGCATAGATAACGCCGCCAAAAATGCTGTCTAGTAAGTCAGCTGAGGAGATTTTGAGGCACAGTCCCTCCGTCAAGAACATTCTGGAAGCGGGTGATGCTGAGCGGAAGATGAAAGGAATAGCATCTTTCAATCCATCAAGCGTTCCTCAACATAAACGTGACGTTTACGAGTTTGGCGCCAGTTCTAGTCATTTTTCCGAGTCAAAACCATCGTGTCAAATTGTAAACACATTTTCTGCCTCTTGTTCGTGTACGTGATTGCTTTACTGCGAATTTGGTTCGCGTTATGAAGACCATATAGGCCTACTATTCTTGTGCTGTCACTATATATGGAATTGAATTCCATAAGCGGTGATGCTAAAGTTATTAATGGCAGAACCAGCAGCAGCTCTGACGTCATGAGACCAGATTTCGCGTGCGCGCGAACCCTTTTGATAGTTTTCAGTCACGTGACTGGTTCGAAGACCTGGCGGGCAAAACATCCATAGAAGATAGAACTGCAGCACAAGACTGACAATTTTCTATCTCTTCCGATCCAAAAGTATTAGATCATCTCTCAAAAGAATAAAACAAACATATGTGAACAAAATTCAAGTTTTGGCCATTAGCAATCCATAAAGCACCTGTCGCAATATTTCAATCACTAAAAACAGTGCATATTGTAAAACGTTTCATGTGAAAACACTTAAAGTGCCTTTAAAACAGTGATATTAAACGATTAAATTAGTACACACCTGATTGATGATGCGTGCTTTATACAGGCAAGCAAATGAGCCCGGAATATGAGCGCAATGCGCTACATGGTGTTCTATGGGAAAAAATGTAATATTAAACTTTGCGCATTGCGTTTATATTCTGGGTTCATCTGCTTGCCTGTACAAAGTATGCATCATCAATAAGGTGTATACCGAATTTAACCTATAAATATCACTGTCTTACTATATTACTACTAAATGCAATCCTCCTGGCGGTCAGTGGAGCAAAGCTTTGTGGGCGTTCCTGTAAGGGTGTGACGTCACGTGAAAACTATCGATATGAGACTATTAACCTAAATATACATCTGACACCTGATGTAGCATACTGTTAGGTCTGATCTTGTTCAGAATGAACACTATTTTCTTTGCGACTTCAATCCAACTTTATAAAATCAAAATAGAGATTATTCAAAAACAACATCTGATATTTAATTTCGGTTTGTTTGTGGCTGGAAATATAAGGTAAGCTATATAGAAATGTGAGCATTGTCTTACATTATCTTAGGCACAACTACAAAAAAATAATAATAACAATAATAATAATAATAATAAAAATTAGAAACCACCACAGAAAATCTATTGGTTTCCACTACAAATACCATTACAAACATTACAAACCATCAACTTTTAGTAATTAAAACCATTTAAAAAATGGTTTTCTGTAATGTGTTTTTGGCCATATTCCATTAGGATTTAGTGGTTTTTACAAGCCACCAATAGAAGGTGACCAATTACCAGTAGAAACCCAGAGAGTCAATTACACTTTCCATTAAAGGGGTCATATGATGCGATTTCAAATTTTCCTTTCTCTTTGGAGTGTTACAAGCTCGTGGTGCATAAAGAAGATCTGTAAAGTTGCAAAGACTAAAGTCTCAAATCCAAAGAGATATTCTTTATAAAAGTTAAGAGTCAGCCAGGCCTACCTAAAATGCCTCGTTTAAACACGCCCTCACATATCTACGTCAATATGTGGAAATATTAGCATAATGCAGCCCAAATGTGCACGCAAAGAAAGAAGGCGTGGTTTCAGTAACCGCAGTTAGTGTTGATGCAGCATGTCAGGGAGACGCTGTGTTTCAGTGCGAAAGCAAAAGCACTTTATTTGGCCTTCCGGAAGTAGATGCAATTAGGAATCATTGGTTAAGATTTATTTACAACAGAACAGCACAACCCAGATGTTCGAATTTGTGCAACGCATTTTATGGACGACAGTTTTTTGAACCTAGAAGAGTACAAGGCAGGCTGTGCACAAAGGCTATTTCTAAAAAAAAGAAGGAAAAAAAGGGTAAATTCCGATCAAAATAATGATCTTTAAAATAACATCATATGACCCCTTTAAGTCCCATTATAACAAGTAAAAAAATTCTGTGATGGTTTCTGTTGTTGTTTTCCAGCAGGGTACTGTACACAATACACATAAACTGCAGAGAATAGTACAAATAGTAGGTTTGCATGCTATCCTTTCAATTCAATATACATCTGACGGCCAGTACAAGAGATGTACAGTTCAGTCTGATTGCAGAACGGCTTCTTGTGTTCTTTAAGGCCTCTTTGAAGACAATGCAGGCTTTTGTGCATGAGGAACCGGGCACGCAGCACTCGCGCCCCGGGTGCAAACCGTCTTGAATGTAAACTCACACAAACAAAAACACACACACACATAGACAGAGGCTTTGTGAAGCACAGACTAAATGTCAGTGCAGAAGCTGTTTTACTGCACGTTGCTCCTCACAGAACAATCTGTGCCACTGCAAATAAAAAACAGAGCAGAGTGCGTGCACGGAGCATTTGTCAATAAACACACTGTACAACGTGCGTCAGAGTGAAAAGCTGCAGCTGGCAGAAATAATGCGTTGGATGTGATGTGAGTTTAGTGTTTCTCCCACAGGTCATCTTCTGCAGGCATCCGGAGTTCAGAGAGCAAACTGACGCAACCTCCGCATCGCACGCCGTACCCGTAACCATGGCGGAACCGGAGCTGTCGCCCGCAGCGGACCCGTCTCTGCGGTCTCCGCGCTCGGCACCACTGTCGCTGTCATTCCCGTTCCTGCGAGAAGGCAGCCGCGTTTGGGAACGAGCCGCCCTGCAGTCCGGGGAGTTACAGAGTCCTCTGCCCACCAAACGCACGCGCACGTACTCGGCGTAAGTACGTTCTGGGAACCTTCTAGGAACGTAAATAGAACGTTCCCCTAACGGTACCTAAAGGGAACGCTCTATTTTCAA